GGCCATTAGATGTAGCTCGTCTGTGTTGGGACATTCTTTTGAACAGTGGCCGCTTTGTTTCCTCAGGACTTAAAAGCCTGAATTTTGCCTGAAACTCTCAGACTGAAGAAGTCTCTTGGAAGAGAGACGAAACGTTTCATTAAAGAAGACCCCGTCCAGAGGACCTATACAATTTTTTTCCCTTTAGTTTACTTATCACGTAACGCAGATTTACAAAAATGACAAGCCCCTTAGCTCGATTCAACTGCAAAAAAACTGTAAATTTAATTTTATGAAAAACTATTTACAATTTATCAACACTTCCACAATGCATAGTTCATATTACTTTAGAATAAAATGGTACAGCAATGACAGGGTTCCTACAGTTTAAGGCAAGCCAAATTTAAGGCTTTTTAATGCCAAGTGAAATCATCTTTAAGACCAATTTCACAATAAACACAAATGACAAAAAAATAMAAATAAAAAACTGCGGCAGAAACTCATGAATCAAAGTATTTTGGTTGAATTATTCAAATATTGCTAATAGACCAATTGCTATTTTGTCAAATATAGCAACAACAAAAAAACATTCTTAGCAGTCAGTTTTAAACTTAATTTAATTTCTGGAAATCCTCTAATGACCCAAAATTTGGAGTTTTATGACCCACAGTGGGGTCTCAACCCCAGCTTGCTGTAGATGAAAGCTTAAAGTGCATGTGACATCAAWTTTTTGTAAGAAATACGAATGTATTTTTGGAAAGACAACATTATTAACATATTAGAAAATGAATTCCACATTGCTCTGATGGACGATTGTTGAGATATTTGCATGTGAAATAACAGGAAGTGGTGTCAAAAGGGAACATCTGAATGGGAATATTTCAAAAATAAATAAATGTTACCAATTATTTTAATATTTGATACGAATTACAGTCATCCTACTTACAATGTGTTAACATTTTTAAGACTTCTAAAAATTGTTTTAAGGCCTTTTAAGACCTTATTTTTGGACTGATGAATTCARGGCMTTTTAAGACTTTTTAAGGATCYGTGGGAACCCTGAATGAAATCTGGTTGTRGGACTATGATAAAATAAACTTTTCCCTAACTATCCTGTAGATCCACATTAAGCGACAAACTTTTAATCACTTTACTGCGAGGTTTATTCCTATAATTCTCCTCATTTTCTATGGAAGAAATAAAAAAAAATTTACCTCCACTGACCACTGAAGACCAAGTCCCACCAGAGGAGCTGTTCCTGGTCGGTGGAGCTGTTGGACTGTCCCCGGCTGAACTGTGAGAGATCAAATCCACGCCAGGGTGGCCGCCGCCGATCCGCGATGGGGGCACTCTGTGAGAACGAGGTGTCCGCTGGGACTTGGGAGACATCCTGGGAGGACCTGGAGAAGACGACAGACACGTCCCATAAAACGGACAGCGGCGGCGAATCACAACCCCTCCCCTCCTCACATCCAGCTGTGAAAACTTTATTTTAAAGCCAATGGGCCTCATGCAAAAAMCGTTCGTACGAACAGATTTGTTCTTAAGTTTTGCGTACGAGTGATTTAGGAGAATTTGCGGCATTCACCAATTTTCTCGTATTCTAAGATTTCCTTCAGATACGAACAAAATTGACGTGTGGTCCAGACCTGTCGTATATTTTACGAGCAGTCAGTCTGCTGTTATCCAGATGGATTTTCTTCATTAATCAACTTTATATTTCATTAGTTTGAAGATATTATGTTGACAGGTTATTCTGTCTGAACTGGAATCAAATTTTAACAACTTAAATTGAATAGATTAAATAAAATCAGCTTTTAATGCTGTTGTATAACACTACAATGTTAATATGAAGATCTCAAACTAAAAAAACAACTTAAATTATGCATTAATTGAAGTTTGGAGACATTTTAAAATGCGTCTTTTCAGAACTGCATCTGACAGTTGCGACGGTTGGGGGGTGGCACTGCTCCTCCTCTGAATAAATGAAAACTATGTAACACAGGTGTTTACACTTGAATTAAAAATATTTGACCAAGGAAAGACCGGAGCAGGACTAGAGAGAGATGAATTTGATTTAGATTTTTATTTCTGTGACTGTCACGACCCACAGGAGACACGACATTAACAGCAGTAGTTATCTCATTCCATTCTTTGGCTTTAGCTGGTCCTTTAATTCCACGACTGACGCTGCTAAAAAGGACAGATTTTCTTTTCTCGATCTCGGACAGCAGGACTTTAATCTCCGAACTCGTAAAGTTCCTCTTTTTACTTGTCGCTGTCATTTTCATGAATGGACACTTCCTGATCAGGAAACGTAACAGGAAACCGCAGGAAACGTAGCCTTATATGGTGCTTTTGGGGTGGTAATTATGTTAATCTCCTGTCCGCGTACACGAGCAGCTGGAAACGAACAGGTAGAAATCATCATGTTTACGCAGCTCGTTTACACACTTTGCCTGAAGATAGAAGAGTTTGTTGAATCTGATGTGGCATGTTCGTACGAACAAAAGTAAGAGAAACTTAGGATATACGAACATGTTCTTGCATGAGGCCCAATGTGTTTCACGTGATCTTAAAGACCCAATCCTCTGACATTGCATYATGAACCCAGGTGTAAATAACACATCAAACATGCATGCAAGTTAGTAGAGAATAAAGCAGAMGGCTCAGAAAAGTGATCAAACCAAAATCAGTTTTCAAACCACAACCAAGTTAAATGAAAAATGACACAAAGGGGGTAATAAGTGTTTCAATAAAACTGCTGTAGGGTAAAAACAGCAATGGACAAAATAAATCTATTTTCCTGCGAGTTTAAAAAATGAGTAATTTCCTGTTTGTTTTTTTCTACTAAAACTCTTGTGATGCAGAACGTGTAGAAAGCACAGCACAAACACCTTGGTGAACCCACATGCCAGGGTGAAACCACCTGATGCACTGAAAAGAGGTCAGCTTCAATCCAGCTCCAAATCTGACCCCAAATCAGTCCCAACATGCAGTTTCACCTAGTTTGTTGTTTCACGCTAAACCTGGGCAAACTCATTTATGAAAAAGGAGTTGTTCTTGTTTATTTGGAAATACTTCTAACAGCCATGCCTTTGCCCAGGTCGGCTCCACCCGTGTGGCTACCTTCTGACGACATGCGTTTGGGCAGAGTGGAGGCTGGCGACGTGGGCCCGTGGTGAGAAAAGGAAGATGAAGAGGAGGGATAGGAGGGGTGGGATGAATGAGAGGGAGGCCTGGAAGGTCGGGAGGGGGGTCTGGAGGGTGGCCGGGTGGGCGTGGTCGCCCGAGGAGGCAGGGAGGAGGGGCCAGACTGGTAACGAGAGGGGGGACGAGAAGAAGGAGACGGACAGGGTGAGGGCCAGTGGGATGAACCTAAAAGAGGCAAGGACAAATGATCAAGGATAATTAACCCATTGAAGTGCAAGAAAACATCAAGCTCAGCAGGAACAGAAAGGGGTGAGTTATTAAATATGAGGGGGTGACAAAAATGGGAATAATTTGTTTGGCAAAAGAGCAATTAGGTGCAGAAAAAAATAATCACAGACAATCTAACCTGATTAAAGATTTGTTTTTAGTCATGCAGTTTTGGTAAAAAAAAGTAAGCACAGCCTCTTTCATTTCCTTTATGTTACCCATCAGTATATAAAAAAGGATGTTCTTCATTTTCTTCTACTTTGTTAAGTAATGACAGGTTACTGTGTAGTTATTCCTCTGAGATTATGTAATCACTCAAATCTATGACAAAAGTATGTTCCATAATACGACCTTTCATAAGATTATAATCAGGCATAATTACAAGCTAGCAGATTAATTCTAKAAACTAAGAATACTATGACTTTAGTCTACTGCAGGTAAGACACTGACTGTTAATTGTTTAAAACATCCCTACAAATAACAATGCCTGCATGTACTGAAAAACTTGTTTTTTTTACCGTGTCTTATAGAAGGTTATATTACCAACAAACTTTGAAAAACTTTCTTTCAGAAAATACATCCAAATACTCAGCTGGTTTGTGAGTGATGTAGTAAAACGTACCTCCATTAACCACCCTCTGGTCAGTCCCGGAGCTGGGACTGTAGTCGTGAGGTCCTGGTCGAGAAGATGAGGGTCCACCTGAGCTCTGACCCAAACGAGGAGAGTTCTGGCGTCCTGGTCCCCATGACATCACTTCCCTGTTCCTCTGGCCTGGAGGAATGTACTTGTTCTCTCTATACACACACACACACACACACACACACACACACACACACACACAC